ATTCTCTATTTTTGTTGTCTTGGAATTTCTTGAGTGTCTCCTGTACATTTTGGTTGACCCTATCCAGTATCATCTCTATAAAATTCTCATTGAGTACCTGTAGTATGTCTTCTTTTAAATTATTCTTGTGGGCTTCATTGGGTCCTTTGGCATAGTTTATCTTCATTTTGTTGGAGTCTGGATCTGAGTACCTGTTTTCTTCATTCCCCTCTGGTTCCTGTACTAATTTTTTGCTGTGGGGAAACTGGTTTCCCTGTTTTTTCTGTCTTCCCGTCATTGTCTTTGGTGTTGTTACTGTCCCTGTACTGTGTGCAATTAAGTATTTTCTAGCTTGTAATAATAACAATGGTAATATTTAGAATGGAAGGGTGAGCTGAGATGGAAAGCAAGAAGTTAAAGAAAAGGGGAAACAAATACACAGACAAGGAGAAAACAGAACAAGGTGTCAGACAACAAGGTTTCAAAGGTATAAACAGGGAGCTTTAGCGTACTAATCGACAGTAAGCTGAACAGACATTGGACAGAGAGAGGATTGAAAATCAAAACTAAAAAAAATAAAGATAAGAATAAAATTAAAAAATAAGTAAATTAAAGAAAAATCTATATATAAGTATGTATTAAAATAAAATGAAAAAATAGAAAATTAAAAAAAACCAAAAAAACCAAAAAACCTCCAAGTTCAAATGCAATGAATTTTCAGTCTTAATAATTTGGGTGTCCGTCTCAGTCTCCAGTCCTGGAGATGGTGCCTCGGATGTTGTTCTGTAGTTGTCTCATCAAAGGGGACGCATAAAGTAGAACAAAACTACACACACACACGCACAAAAAAAAACCCCACCAAGTGTCCCAAGTTCAAATGCAATACAGTTTCAGTAAGTTTTTCGGCTTGCAGGTGTAATTCGGTTGTTCTCTCATCAAAGGTAGGGAGACAAAGAAAAAAAAAGAGTCTGGAGACAGTTCTGAGAATGGTATCTGCAGCTGTGGTTTGCCTGCCTGCTGCTGTCAGCCTGCTGTTGCTGGCGGCTTTATTTATGCAGATCTCTGGGGTGAGCTTAGCACTCACCTGGCCCTGCAGGCTTTGTTTGCTCAGAGTTCTCCTGTGCGGGAGCCTCTGCTACAAGTTTTCCCCTTTCCAAGCACACTGGGAAAGGTGACACTGTACTCGCATTCTCGGGCCTACGTGTTTATTTACAGTTCATGTGGGAGGTGGGTCTTCCCCCCTCTCTTGTGCAGTTCTCCTCCCACCGCCACTTTCACAAGCTTTCCTGCTCCTGATTACTGGGTGGTGCTGCTGCTCCTGCCAGCCGCCATGTTTGTTTACAGTTCACGTGGGAAGTGGGTCTTCCCTCCTCTCCTGTGGAGTTTTCCTCCCTCTGCCACTCTCACCAGCTTTCCTGCTCCTGGTTGCTGGGCGCGCTCCCCCGCTTCTGCCAGAGCCTCATCTGCCTGCCCGCTTGTTTATTTACAGTCCCAGGAAGGATTCCCTTCCCCCAATCTTTGGTGCTCAGTGCGCCCCACTCTCTTTTCCATGTGTCTTTATTGCTCTTATTGCTTATTACTCAGTTTCTCTTTTTTCCCTGGGTGGAGGTTGGTCTCTCCAGGGGGCTATGCTGCTCTGGCCCAGGCTTGTCTGTGGGAGTACTGTGGTACCACGAAGCTCACCTGGTCCGCGTCTTCCCAAGCCATCTGGGCGCCGGCGACTGGCGGCCTGGGGGCCCTCCTGGTTTCTCCGTTTAACGTGAAGTGGAGATTCTCTGCACCGGCTGGAGGTGTGGAGGGGTCAAAGTTATGCCTCTTCTCAGTGATTATGCCTGCAAAGTGTGTCTCCAGCGTCTCTCCAAGATTTCACTATAGGAGGCTCGCTTTCTGCTTCCTCCCTCTAGCTGCCATCTTGGAATCCTCATTCTAGCCACCATGAAGCTCTATGTTCAAGCCCGGTAGCACGAAAACTGTAGAGGATTCCAAGATAGCTGCAGATGGCAAGCTTCAGTTAAAGACCTCTGTGTTGGATATTTTCATGGTAGGGTCTTACAAAGTATTTGCCCACCCTGACTTATAACCAGGTTTTTTCTTGACAGTACTGGGGTTTGACTTCAGGGCCTCATGCTTGCTAGACAGGCACTTTACCACTTGAGCCACTCCGCCAGCCCTTTTTTGTGTTGGGTATTTTTGAGATAGGGTCTCATGAACTATTTGCCTAGGCTGGCTTCAAATCTTGATCCTTCTGATCTTTGCTTCTCAACTAGCTAGGATTATAGGTATGAGCAACTGTTGCCCAGCAGAGGAAAAACTTCTTATCTAGCAAATGACCTATTGTATATACTGCGTGTTTGCTCAGGCTGGTTATGACATGAAGTTTTTGGGTTTCATGTGTGTTAATAACTTGCAGAAGCAAACGTTGAGATCTTTAGCATTAGGCTCAGTGGGGACAGTGACAGTCTAGAAGCTGATGAATACTTATTATTCTAGAACCTTAGGCTGTAGGGTGTCAGACATACTTAATGGCTTCTTTTAGAAATTAGCATATATTAATTGTACTAAGGGGTTTCATTGTGATACTTTCATACAGGCATATAATGTTCTTTGGTCAAATCCATCCCTCTGTTATACTCTATTAACCCCTTCCCTTTTCCCCCCTTTTCAAATAGTGTTTAGTGAATTTTGTTATGTTAGCTTCATATCTATATATAACATACACATATACATGATTGATCATGTTCACGCCCCAGTACCCTTTCCTTTCTCCCTCCTACTGGTTCCCCCTATAGACAGTCTCCCTTTTGTGCTCATGTCCCATAATTACTATGATTATAATAACTATTATTACCAACTGAATAGAATTTTGGTGCTCATCCTGGATGAGGCTCTGAGCTGAGTGTTACAGTTTCTGAGACACAGGCAATAGAAAGAAAATCTAAACTCCAGGAACCTCAGCTGGGAATGGGGGAAAAGCATATTGTCTTTCTGTTTTGGGCCTAGTACATGTGTTTGGCTGAGACCTCCAATGTAGGTATTAAAATGTCAGAACATTATAAAGAAATAATATACAAAGAAACTTAATCTTGATTTGAAGGAATCCCCAATGTATAAATGAAACTAAGACTAACATTTAAAAAACAGAAAACTAACTGGACACCTGAGAAGTGACATCCTCTTTTGAGATTTTTGGAGACATCATGAAGGGAAGGGTGAGAATATGGGAGTAGGGTAGATTGTTGTTCTAAATTCTTTACAGATTTCAGGGCTGGAGGTACAGCTTAGTGGTAGAGCACCTGACTGTAAGCACGAGGCCCTGAGTTCAAACCCCAATACCACCAAAAAAGTAAGTTATTTACAGATTTGCACTTCAGAATACAGTGAAAACTGAGTACTCTCACCTTTGGTTCATGGCTTGAGTAGAAACAGATTGAGACTGGAAGACCTCCATGTCAATTCCGCAGTTTTGTGAAGCAGGCCTTTATGCTGCTTTTTACTTTTCCTTTTTTGTAGTGTTGGGGACTGAACCCGGGGCCTTATGCATGCTAGGCAAGTGTTCTACCACTGAGAGATTCAGCTGTAATCTTGCTACTTTTTAGTGGTCTCTCTTACAAATGCCAGACCCCTCCTCCCCTCTTTTCCTCTATCTCCATTCATTCTCAGAGTAGTAGACTGTACTAAATCTCCCTCTAGTGCTGCATATGTGAAGGATGAACAGACTACCTGTCATTCTTGGGAGTTGTTTGGGCAAGGCAGGACTATGAAAGACAACTCTTTGAGATGGAGCAGCAACTGACACAACCTGTAGGTCTTTGTGTTATAGAAGTCATGGTCAAAACGGACTTTGGCCTTGTGACCAGTATGGGTCACTTTGGAAAGTGAAGCTTATATTTTATATTCTGAGTGTGGTGTAGTTAAGGAGATAATTCTTATAACATAAAAATCTTCCATTGGAAGTATATAATTCAGTGGTTTTTAGCATATTCAGAAATCTGTAAGCATCACCAAAATCAATTTTAGACAATTTCTCTCACCTTCAGTTAAATTTGTACCCATTACCAGCCACTCCCCATTTCCTCTTAACCCCTAGCCTGTGATAATGACCCATCTACATTTTGTCTGTATGTATTTGCCTACTCTGCACATTTCACATGCTATGCAATCATTTGCATGTAACATATATCACTTAACATTATGTTTTTGATGTTCATTCATGTACGATAATTTATCAGTACTTCATTCCTTCTTATGGCTGCTTGATAATCCATTGTGTTACATTTTATTTATCCATATATCACTTGATGAATATTTGGGTTGTTTTTACTTTTTGGCTATTAGGACTAATGTTGCTATCAACAGTTATGTATGAGTATTTTTGAGAGCATATATTTTTTCTTGAATATATACATAAGAATGGAATTGTTAAATATAATAACTATGTTTCACTGTTTAAGGAATTGCCGGACTCTTTTCCAAAGTAGATGTACCATTTACATTCCCACCAGCAATTTAAGAGGGTTATAATTTTTCCACATTTTTGCCAACACTTGCTATTTTTCATTTTTAAAACTTACAGTCATCCTCATGGTATCTCATTGTGATTTTGATATGTATTTCCCCTAATGACTAATGATATTAAGTATATTTCCATGTGCTATGTTGGCCATTGGTATATTTTCTTTGGAGAGCTGCATATTCACTGTTTTTGCTCATTTTAATTGCCTTATTTATATTTATTGTTGAGTTGGAGATATATTTTTTGACAGTTAGTCTAATGCATATCCTTTAATTAGGTGTGATCTGGAGACAGAGGATTCATAGACCCTAAGTACTATGGATTTCTATCCCCTACCTGGAATAGAAGAAACACTTCTGCTTTAGTTCTATTTCAGATGTGCCTATTCACTCTGAGTGACTAACACCTAAGGGGCTGGTGATAGTGTACATCAAATCTGTGTGTGAAATCATAATAAAAATTTTTTCTTGCATTTAAAAGGCTAATGTTACATATTTTGTTTTGAAAGACATGTAGAGGTCAAGATGGAGAACTTCATGCCAATCTGCTTTGCCCCGTGGATGTGACAGATGTGCCTGAGGGCACCTTGCCTGACAAACAGAGCACTGAAGAAGCCATACGATTATTGGGCAAGATGGAAACATTGGCCAGTCCTTTCTTCCTTGCGGTTGGGTATCATAAGCCACACATCCCCTTTAGATACCCCAAGGTAAAGAACTGCCTGAGGGATGATCCAACAAAGCCATACATCTGTGTTGCATTTGTGTACTGAAGGTAGCCACATCCTGCCATTGCAGTCACCAGGGATGCCTAATGGGTACTTGTGTACTCAGTGAAATGAAAATGGGGGTCAGAGGTCAAAGCCAAGAAGTAGTTTTAGGGCATGTAAGAATCTTGTAAGAAATACTTGGCTTTCATATTCCCTCCAGTGAAAGGCTTTATTTCCTTCCCTCGAACTCATTGTGCAAATATTGGGTTGGATGGTGAGATTGTCATAGAGAAGTGACTCAGACACCAAAAGCCTTTAAGAGGGGCTGGTCCTTGGGAAACAATTCCAGGGAATGTGATGCCCTCTTCACCAACTGCCTTTCCTTCCTGAACCTGTCATGTCTGACCCTGTAAACATAGAACATTGATCATTGGAATATTAGGTCCTACGCTTGCTTATCTGTCGTTTAAAGCTTGTAGTCATTACCTTTTCATCATCTTTTTCAGTTTTTCCCTGGGTTTAAGCAGCTAAACCTTCTGATTTCACAGAGAATGTCCCTCACTTTTAACGATAACTTGCTTTGACTGGCCTAGGGGATCTTGCCTTCCTAGCAGGAGCTGTCAGCCCCCTTGGTAGAAGCCTGTGAGACTCATTTCTTCCGCCTCTCTGCCAAAAAGAGTTCACAAAACTGGTCAGATTGCAAGTCTTTGAAAGGCCTGGCTTACAAGGCTGGCTCATCACTGGCATTCAGGAGCTTTAATTTTGGAAGTGTTCTCACCATTCCCAGAACTGACAAGAGTGGCTTACTGTACCTAAACTATTCAGGCAAATAGTATGCTATATGCTGGACCCTTGCTTTCTTTCTGGGAGCCTGAAATTTTGGTATGGTCCAGGCAGAGAGTGCCTACATGACCAGCCCCAAATCAAAACTGGGTGCTGAGGTTTTAAATGAGCTTCCCTGGTTGACAGAACTTCACACCTGTTGGCACCAACTCATTGCTGGGGTAATAAAGTGCATCCTGTGTGATTTTCCTGGGAAAAGACTCTGGAATCTTGTCACTGGTTTCCTCCATACTTTCCTCTTGGGTATCTTCCCTTGGCTGATTGTGTTTGGTATTCTTTCACTGTAATAAGCCATCACTGTGAATGTGACCATATGCTGAAGCCTGTGAGTTTTCCTGGTGAATTTCAGAATTTGAAGGAGGTTTTAGGAACCCCTAACATCATGCCATACCTTTGTGAGTTGGGAGTGAGGCAAGGATAGAAACAGCACAGCATCTATCTTTATGAGGGAAGAAAGCTGTTGCTGCTTGGTTTATAGGAAATAGAAATTGCGTGATTTTGTTGTTGGCATCTCATGAGGGAGACCTAAGGCCTGACTTCAGGTGGGGAGGTGAGTACCTGGGGAGCATTAGAGAACTACCATGTAAATGCATCATAGTTATAGAGAAAAGGCAATATATATATACTCATAGAATCATAGCCTTATAGCTTTGCAAATGAATGACAACTTTATGGCTTTGTATATTTTTCCCCAAGGAATTTCAGAAGCTGTATCCCTTGGAGAACATCACCCTGGCCCCTGATCCCCATGTTCCTGATGGCCTTCCCCCTGTGGCCTACAACCCCTGGATGGACATCAGGCGGCGGGAAGATGTCCAAGCATTAAACATCAGTGTTCCCTATGGCCCAATTCCGGTTGACTTTCAGGTACCAAGGACATATTTTGGCAATGTATCAGGTACTGATGGTGTGATGTCATTGGTCAAGCTACTTTTCTCAGTAGGCATTATCCCATCATGTCTTATTAAGAACCTTCTTAGGCTAAGTGTGGTGATGCATGCCTGTAATCCCAGCTACTTGGGAGGCAGAGACGGGGATTGTGGTTTGAGGCCAGCCCAGACAAAAAGTTAGCAAGACCTTACATCAGCAGTAAGCTAGGTATGGTGGCACATGCCTGTAATCTCAGCTACTTGGGAGGTGGAGGTAGGAGGATCATTGTCTGAGGCTGGCTCAGGCAAAAGTGGGAGACCCTAACTGAAAAACAAACTAAAAGTAAAAGGACTGGGGGTATGGCTGAAGTGGTGAAGTGCTTGCCTAGCAAATGTGAGACCCTGAGTTCAATCCCCAGTACCATAAAAATAAAAAATGAACCTTCTTTGTGTAAGATGTGTGAAGTCTTAGGCAGGGGTAGGGGGAATCTGTAAGTATTTAGGACATGAGCAGTACTGGGTGGATCAAGTCCCCTGAGCAGTGTCTCAGTTTCCAGAGAAGGGAGCAGTCAGAGATGTGGTGACTTGCTGCAGGTGGGCCTGGAGGTGGGGAAGAGGCCTTGGTTAACATCCCTAACCCATAGAGGATGCTGTTTAATCCAGTGATAGTTCCTCAGTTATAGGGTGTGGGCAACTCAAGTAACCCAGTTTGCTGGTACTTTCAGGTTTCCTCTGTGGGAAAGCCTACACTGGTACCTGTCATTCTTGGGGGATAGTATCTTGATGAGCTGGCCCTTGGCACAGAGGGAGCTGGGACACCATCATGACCAGTGCTGCCAGTTGTGATGCCTGGTGTCCCTTTGCTATGATATGGGGGCAGAGTAGCCGCAGAGTTAGAAAAGTCATCATGACTCATCACCCACCCTCTCTCCCATGTGAGTGCAAAAGACCTGCTGCCAAATGTTCTTTCCAGAATCTTACCACATGATTGCTGAGCCAGGCAGGCAGTGTTTTCAAAGTTTCACAGTGTACTTTATGAACCATCAGAGTCCCTGGACAAACTTGTTAGAAATGCAAAGTCTTAGCCCACCCAGACTTACAGAGTTGGAAGCTGGAGATGGAGCCCAAGAACCTACATTTCCTCAAAAAACACACCAGGTGATCCTGAGGTACTCAGAAGTTTGAAAACCACTGTAAGATAATATACTTTAAAAACAGAACAAATCCAATACGTACAGGTATATCTCTTGCTGTCCACACCTATTTGGCCCCAGAATTTGCAAAGCCAGAGGTTAGGGGATGAGGAATTTACATTCCTGAGTTTTGGATGGCAAGTGGTGAGTTTGGAAAGCAACAGATGTGCCAGTTTGTTTGCTTCCTAATTTTGCACTGCCGGGTTCTAATAACAAGATTGCTCAATTGTAGCTCTGAGGCTGCACCTGAATGCTTAGTTACAGTCACTTAAAATGCACCTTTACAATGGACTTTGTGCCAGAAAGGATGTTGAGCATTTCCTTTGGCTCTGATGGGAAGCTAGTGACATACCATCCCTTTTTGCTGTCAGATGAGGGAAGTGTAGACAGGGAGGCATGCTGACTTACCATGACACAGAGTGCCTGGCAGAGCTGGTGTAGCCCCAGGGGTGTGTAACTCCAAAGCCTCATGGTTTGTTTTGTCAGTTTGAACAGACCGGGTTACAATGTACTTTCTACCCAATACCAGCTGTATGACCTCTGTTAAGCCACTACTTCTCTGAACCTCAATTTCTTTATTTGTCAAATGAAGACAGGATGAATAAAGGTTTACTGTGATAACACTGACTTTGGAAGTTTTCCGTGAGGAGCATAGGGAACATGTGGAAGCGTCCAGGGCAGTGCCAGCTTCATGTGAGATCTCCTTCAAGATCTGAGTCCCTTCCTCACATCCCTGTCCATTGGATACATAGCAGACAGCATGACCCAGAGAGCCACCTGGTGAGCTCATGTGTGGGGTCCATTCCCCTTGGACTCAAGCCCCACTCCTTATCCTTTTCTATCTTATGTGTCTGTGTCCAAGCCCCTTCTCACACCTCTCTTGAGCCACTCAGTTCTATGTTCTTAGGCCTGTTCCTTCTTGGTCATCAACACCAACTTGATCATGACCCCCCACCCCCAATTCTCATTGCTTATATCCTCCTGGGAATTTCCAGAGTAGAGACTCCTACTCCTTCCCTTTTGTCTAGGTGGCTTCTTGACTTCGTTCCGTCTCTCAATTGCTAAGGTCCCATGGCAGGCCACTTACTCTTCTTGCCAGCCCCTCAGCATGCTTGTCCCACTTGCAAATGGAATCATGACACAGTCCATCAATGAGAGCTGCTGGAGAGAATTCATGCTGCCATGAGGCAGAGAGGTCCTCAGCTGCCTGGGTGAGCTCTTTGTATGGCAACTCTTGTCTACCCAGTGAGATTTCCCTGTCTTCCCACCAACTTTCCCTGCAGCCTTTGTCTGCTCTTGTCACTCCATCTATAAAAGTACCACCTCTCTTGACTGCCTATTTCTCCTCCCTTCCACTTGCTCCCCTCTCCTTCACCCACCCACTCCTTCAAGGGCAGTGAAGAGTAGTGTAATCTGGCTGCATTTGTGGTCTCCTTACCCAATTTTTCTTTATTCTCTTCTATTTGGGCTTCTGCCTCCCCAGCCCATTAAGTTCTCTTACCTGGGTGGACATTGACCTTGTTGGCAAATAGATTCCATCCTTTCAGGTCTTGACCTTCTCTGAGCTCTGTGCTGCTTTTTCACTGCTGACCAGCCCCATCCTTTCTGGAACTATTCACCTCATTGGCTTCCTTGCAAGACCTTCTCAGCCCCCTCTGCTCTAGCCTTCATGACAATCACCTCTTTTGTGTTCCCCAGTTAGATGCTGTCCCCAAGGTCATTTCAGGTTTCCCACTGTGTCCTTTCTGCTTTTCTCTAGCTGGACTCATCTGAGTTCTGTTGGTAGATGACTCCCAGAACTATCTCTCCGGCACAGGCCTTGCTTCTAATTTTCAACTTCATGTGTCCACCTGCCTGTGAGAGCTGTTATTAGGCAGATGACCATGGAGACCTCAGCCCCATAGGTTCTCGTGTGGCCAGGTCACCACCCCCATCCTGACTTTTCTCCTTCCTCCTCTTGTATCCCCCTACCACATGCCAGTGAATCATGCCATCAGCTGAATTCAAAACTTAGAGCTTTCTCATCTCCTTCCTCTGCCCTGTACCGTCCCTTCCTCCACAGCTGCTTTATCTCCCCAAGTTCCTCTCAAATCCACTCTGTCCCTTGGATCCTTCAGCATATCATTTTGCAGCATATCATAAAACCAAATGGGTTTTACTTTTTTTTTTTCATTCAGCAAGTATGTTGAGCACTTTTCAGGTGCCAGCAGATGTAGTGTCATGTTGTCAAAAGCCCCTGGAATCTGTGTTGTTGTTGCCATAGGATACTTGCTAACCTGCTGCTCAGAGCATGTCACTTCCTTGCTTTCAAAGACCTCAGTGACTGTCTTAAACCTATAGCCTGGGACCTCTAGTCCCTGGAAGGATCTGCTAAATCCTTATCATCTGTCTCTTACCTAAGATTTTGGTATCTTGTACCACCTCTTGCCCTCACATGTTATTCAGCAGCTCCAAATATGCCCTATTCTGTCATGACTCCACACCATTCCCTACAGTGCAGCCCCTGCTTAGAGCATTTTACTCCCATTTGTCCAATGGCAAGCACCTTTTCTCCAATGCAGATTTTTCCGTGAAGCCTTCCCTGATTTCCCTGGGCCAACTCAAGAGCTTATTTTCCTGTCTTGTCTGTGTGACCTACAAATAATGTGGTGTTTTTGTGTTTCTGTGACTGTATGCCCGTTGACCAGGTGTCTCATTAGGGCTGGAGACCATGCGTTCTTATTTAATGCTTACCTCTATGTGCTAGCATAGGAAGGAGATGTCTTTGGTCCCCAGGAAGTCTAAAGTTCTCTGAGTTACAGACTGAAGACTTTATTTGGCAGAAAGTATAAGTAGGCTAGGATCTAGCATATTCTTTCTATAAGGTTATATGTTTATCTGTTCTCTTTACCAGAAGCAGAGGACAGGGCAAGTCTTATGACTGTCCTTACTCTAGCAGTGACAAGAAGAAGCTGACAGGTCCATCTGATAAGGCAGGAGCCACACAGGCAGCAGAAACTAGGGCTGGTCTGATAAGTCTGTACTTGCTTGCTTTTCAGTGCTTGGAGGTGGGTGGGGGATTCATCTTATTTCCTTAATGTTTGTTAACAATGGTGGCACAAACAGTTGAGTTCTATTACACAAACACAGGGTTCCTGCTGAATTCACCAAGAAAAAAAGGGACGATGGTTTCTTTACTTGTGAGTATTGACCTGGCTGTCCCAAAGTCCCTCTTGGGTTTAGGAACTGTGGCTGCTCTCTTGTCCTCCATTGCTCTTCTGGCTATTGACAGTTTGTTAGAAACGAGCTACACTTAATATTCATAGTCAATTGTCATCTCTTCTTGGGCCAGAAGGTGGTCAGAGTGAAGAACTGCAGCTACCACTAGAAGCTAGAAGAGGTAAGATCCTCCCTTAGAGCCTTCAGAAAGAAATGGCCCTCCCCAAACCTTGTTTTTGGACTTCTCACCTCCACAGCTGAGGTACAATCCAATTATAGTATTTTAAACCACACAGATTAGGGTACATTGTTACAGCAGCCACAAGAAATGAATACAGCTGAATTCTACCTTTGGTGTGCCCCTTATTAGATAGAGCCTGTGGGGGCCTATGTTTGAAGGAGTCAAGGGATCAGTTTCTGTGTACATGTTCATCTCTGGGGACTAGCCAGTATATGTGAAGGGTACAGAAGACAGCAATAAGTGACATCCATCTGCCATGATGTGTGCCCTAAAGTGAAAGCTGATTTGCTTAGAAACAAATATTGCTTTGGACCTGCAGATTGTGCTGTGACTCTGTAGGTAAAAGGAGGCAGAAGATAGGGAAAGGGAGAGAAAGTAACTGAGGGCGTAGGATTGGGAAAGATGCTCAGACAGACATTATCTCTGCATTCGCCATAGCAATTAAAGTTGCATTTACTCTCATTATTGATTTCTTTTAATTTGCAGCGGAAGATACGCCAGAGCTACTTTGCCTCTGTGTCCTATTTGGATTCAGAGGTCGGCCGCCTTTTGAGTGCTTTGGATGATCTTCACCTGGCCAACAGGACAATCATTGCATTTACCTCTGATCATGGTAAGCATTTTGAAATGCCCTGGTGAGTCACTCAAAATACCTCAACTTTCCCATGAAACATGCTTTTGAAGATTGCCCTAATGTGTAGGCGTGCACTCTTTTGTGAATCAGCAGTGCCTTAAGTGCAGGATCTTGCTTTTGTGATCAACTTGTTAGTCCTGGGACTTCTTTCTTGGGCACTGTGGGTGGAGGCAGGTGAGAAAAAAAGGTAGAAGCTTTTTTTTTTCTTGTTGAATTCACCAGGAACCCTGTGTTTGCGTAATGGAACTCTTTTAAGTCCTCATGTTTAACCTAGATCACTGGAGGACTTTTAGTTTTCTTTGGAGGATGCAGAGCAATCCTGGCAGAGTCTAGCAAGGTCCTCAGACCTGACTGGACCTGAAGGGGTCCTTTATTTCAACCATTATTTCTGCCAAAAGACTAGGCTTCCCAACTCTGTCTTTTCTAAGGCTGTTTCCTACTTCTTCTAAACACAGAACTGTCATTTAAAAAACATTCTCTTTAATTTGAAATATTTTCAGTGCACCCAAGTGGAAAATAAAACAACAGCTCCCCCTAGCAGCAGTCTCATTAATCTCGTTCTTACTCACTTTTCCTTCTCCTGAATTGTTTTGAGCCAAACCTGAGATGATTCTTCCAAACACTATCTTTAAGAACTATTGCTTCTTTAAGCATAGCAATAATACCATTGTCATACCTAGAAAAAAGAAAATAGTTATTTCATACCACCGTATATGATATGGTACAATAGTAAACCATAAAATGTGCTCATTGTGAACAAAGAGAAGGATACAAAACATAACGCAGGAGCTGGGATGCCTCCTGTTCAGGTTAACTAGTGTTGGCAGAGTGGAGTGCTATAATTTTTCACATATTCCTAATTATCTGCTGTCCACTTTTCAGCCTCTCTTCTCAGTGTCCAGCTTCATCTTTTACTGGCACACACTCTTCTCTGAGGCAGCTGCAGTTGATGACAGTAGCCCACCTCAAAGTGTTCACCTGGGACATACTACATCACAACCATAAGAGAGCTGGTAAACCATGCTGGTTTCTGTACATCTGTTCAGAAGGCCTTTTATTTCCTGGGCTATCCTGTGCTGCCTTGTTCTTGTCCCAGACTTTTGGGGCAAGTGCCAGAAACCTTCTAAGCTGCCTGTCAAAGTCCTCTACCTCTTATTCCTCCTGTCTGTAAAGATAGACTGCTGGGATTCTCACAAGCATGTGCTCTACTTTCTTATATATTTACTGCTGGCTACAGCAGCCCAGACTGAAGCCTAGTACAAGATGAATGTGTTCCTGTAGCTAGGAACTAGCCAAGCCCTGTATTGGGCCCAGGGGATGGCTCCACAGCTGCCTTTACATGGTGCCAAGTGGTCCACCATTACTGGCAGAGGCTTGTGGGCTTAGAGTGCCCATATTTGGGGATGCCACAGAGAGCCAGACTTCCAGAGATTGATTCCTAAGGTCCCACTGCCGAGGTCCCTCATTTTCCTGTCCCACAGGCTCCTTGACCATCCATCTCTTAGGTTCTGCCAGACTGGAAAGCTGGTGTCCTAGGAGCTCACTGCTATCCTACCCAGTCCCCAGCATTCATGGGTCAAGGCTGCCTTGTCCTTCTGGGGAGAGTAGAGATGTGGGGCTGATGGACTGTGGAAACTCCCTGTCGCTGAGCTCCCCACAGAGTATCTGAACACCCCTACTTCACTCCCTAGTGCTGTCAACATAGGGAGGGAAGCCTCGCCACAACCCTTGTGCATCCACCGTGGGCATGACGGCTGCTTTGATCACTGATTGTGGAGCAGTTCCATTCAACTTGAGGTCTGAGGAGAAAACTGTAGACTCAGAATATATTCCAGCCCTATTCTGGGAGACCACTATTCCTAAGGCTTAGACTCTGTTTGTAGCCCTAGTGTCATCTGTAGACTGAACCTGGGCAGTGTTGTACTGGACTTCGCACCATCCTGTCAAAAGTCAACAGATGTGGCTGTGATGACTAAAGTACACATGTATGTCAATACCTTTCTGCAGCTTACCCATGGCTGCTTTTGGTGTCCTTGGTTATTTCTATAACACAAAATACTCCATGTACAATCATTGTCACACACAATTTTTGTGTCAGAAAGGGTGTTCAGACTTAAAAATGTTGAGGATTCCTGACTTAAAGTATTCACCCTATCTTTTGCAAGTAGATGTTTTAAATCAATGTTAAGGATTATTTAATCATGGTTAATGATTTGTATCAAAAGTTTATTTTTCTCTACATATTGTATGTCTTAAAAATGAACACAATATCCTTGTTTTATGCCACAGTTTTGCAGCTCATGTTTTAGTGGTATAACCCAGGAACTGAAAACTTGAGCTTATGGGACATGAGTCAAAAAATAAGACAGGTTTAGAATATGGCAATGGTAATAATACTTCATCTTGCAGGATCCCCATTATTGAAGAACAAGCCACTGGGTTGTAGCTGAGTGGTAAGGCAGTTCTTAGTGTGCATGAAACCCTGGGTTCATTCTCGTCTTGGCAAGGGAGGTGTGTTTGTTTGGTGTCATCTGGCCCTGCAAAGTCCAGTGTGGGTATATGTTGCTAATTGCTTGTTAAAAGAAGATATTTTAGTTTGGGGGTTTAATATTTTCCCTTTTTAATGGTTTCTTCATTGAGGACAGACGTCTGACTTTGAATGAAGCAGCATTCAGGTGAAATCACCCTTTTGTAGTAATTATAGAGGAATTTCCTCAGTTTAATAGCGTTTTTCTTCCTTTATAACAGGAGTTGAAATGGTGTATAAATAAGCAAGTTATGGTACAATTACTCATTTTCTGTCTTTGTGTGATTTTTATGACCCAGGGTGGGCCCTAGGTGAACATGGAGAATGGGCCAAATACAGCAATTTTGATGTCACTACCCGTGTGCCACTTATGTTCTATGTTCCTGGAAGGACGGCTTTACTTCCGGAACCAGGCAAGAAGCTCTTTCCTTACCGTGACCCTTTTGATCCTGCCTCAGAATCAATGGATCCAGGTATAAAATACACTAAAGGTATACTGCCTAGCAGTGACAGTGCCTTTACTTTACATGTGGGCCACCTTATGGCTCACAGGCTGTAGGCTTACTTGGTCCCTCTTCCTGCTGTGTTGGAATTCCTTCTCAAAATTGTTAGTCAGCACATATTTTAGCACTCCCCGTGCTCTGGCTTGGGAAGGAATGGCAGAGCCAGAGCTCACAAGTATGGCTACTCTCCCCTGGGAGCCCTGGAGGTTGAAGGGACAAAGGATCATTTCCAAGGTAGCATTACCAAGGTAGGGAGGCTGCCATAGAGGTGACAACAGTATGCACCACAGCTTAGAGAAAGGGGCTACAGACTGCCAGGGCAGAATCCCCCCAGCAGATGAGTAGAGTCCTTAACCTCCACACCTTTGCTATGTACTCAGTCCTTTCTGTGCACAATATTTCCCATTTTGGCAGCTCATTGACATAGTGAACCACTGGATCTGTAAACTCTGCCAGGTGATTCTGCTCTGTGTTCCTCAACAGTTTCACTGTTTGATTTCCACATGCCAGTCCTTCAAAGCTTTGAAAACAAATGCCTTTCCACCCATGTGGGGTGACCTATGTGGGTTCTTGTGAGTTGATCCTGACTATCTGCTCAATGTATTTTAGAGACAAATTATATACTTCTGATGACATTTGCTCTTTTTCCATGAAATGTGATAAACCAAGTTGCCCCTTTTTGGACTTACACATTTAATCCATTTTTAATATCTAAGTCTTATACTTTATATTGATTCCTATTTAAATTTATCTTGGTTTTAGATAATCATTCTGGCCTTTCTGAATCTTTGAATTTGCTTTATATTGTCCAGTTTTATTTTCTGCATATTTAATTTTGGGGCACTGTGTGCCGTGTCTTCTTTTACAATGCTGATAGAAAAGTTACACATTTTCAAGGCATGCTTTTTAACCCTTTGTTTGCTGGGACAAATCTGACAGATGACAGTCCTTTTTGAAACTTGTCTGGAAGTATTCAGCAATTTATAAATTCATGTGACTGTATTGTCATCCAACTTTTTTCCCAAAATTTATCTCTAGCCTGTACCTTTTCTCTGAACTTCAACTTGTATTTCCAACAGCCTATCCCATTTGGCCAGTCTTAACATGCTTGGAGCTGAACTTCTGCTCTTTCGCCTTTAGGTTTGCCTTGGCACTCTTCTCAGGAAATGGCAGTAGTTGCTCATGCCAAAAAAATCCTAGAATATTTTCAACCCCTGTGTTGCTCTCATGCTCCATATGTAACATGCAGTCCATCAGAAAGCCTGTTTTTCTCTATTCAGAATTGGTCCCTACCCCTTTGCACTGCATCCACCGCCACCTGCATCTCTTTTTGAATCATGCAGCAACTTTCTTTTTTTTTTTTTCATTTTTCTTTTATTATTCATATGTGCATACAAGGCTTGGTTCATTTCTCCCCCCTGCCCCCACCCCCTCCCTTACCACCCACTCCGCCCCCTCCCTCTCCCCCCCCCAATACCCAGCAGAAACTATTTTGCCTTTATTTCTAATTTTGTTGTAGAGAGAGTATAAGCAATAATAGGAAGGAACAAGGGTTTTTGCTGGTTGAGATAAGGATAGCTATACAGGGCATTGACTCACATTGATTTCCTGTGCGTGGGTGTTACCTTCTAGGTTAATTCTTTTTGATCTAACCTTTTCTCTAGTACCTGTTCCCCTTTTCCTATTGGCCTCAGTTGCTTTAAGGTATCTGCTTTAGTTTCTCTGCGTTAAGGGCAACAAATGCTAGCTAGTTTTTCAGGTGTCTTACCTATCCTCACCCCTCCCTTGTGTGCTCTCGCTTTTATCATGTGCTCATAGTCCAATCCCCTTGTTGTGTTTGCCCTTGATCTAATGTCCACATATGAGGGAGAACATAAGATTTTTGGTTTTTTGAGCCAGGCTAACCTCACTCCGAATGATGTTCTCCAATTCCATCCATTTACCAGCGAATGATAACATTTCGTTCTTCTTCATGGCATGCAGCAACTTTCTAAAGAGTCTCCTTGCTTGTTCCCTGGCTCATTTAGAGTCTTCCCTCCTCAGAGACGTGCAAGCGACCCTTTTTAAGCTCATGGCAGGGGCTACGGATATAACCCAGTGGAAGAGCTCCTACCGACACTGTAGCGAGGTTCTGGGTTCCATCTCTAGCATCACAAAAAGTTCTTTAAAAAATCTTGTTACAGTTGTTCTCAAGAGCCTTTTTTGTTTCTGTCTGACTCTGAGTAAAGGTCCTCATGATGACTAACAATGCCTTATGCAATCTGACTTCCCCCTCATCTCTCTGATCTCCTCTTTGACAAGTATCCAGACCAGATGTCCTGTGTTGTATCCCACAGTCTGGATTTGTCTCATTGTTTCTTCCTTACTAAATTCAGGGTAAACATTTTTGCCCAGTATACTACATGCGATGTGATGTCCTCTTATATCACGGCAGGGGTACTCATGGCAGCCTGTGACCTAATTAATGATGCTAAGTTTAATCATTTGGTTAAAGTGGGAACATCACCAGATTTTGCCATTGTAAGGTATTTTTTAAAAAACTTTCTTTACTTGTTTTCCTTTTTATTTCACTTACAAATCAAGTATCTAGAAAATGAAATTTGGCATTATAAAGTTGTCTTAACTATCCAGAAAGGCCAGAATGATAGTGCAATGCCACGATCAATTTTAACAGAAAGCAGTGTAAGTATGGGGTTTGGATTTTAAGGATGGATGGACCATAATGAGATACCACTTCACACCCATTAGAATGGCTGTTAATAAACAACAAATGTCGGTGATGGTGTGGAGAAATTGGAACACTTGTGTCTTGGTAGCAGGAATGTAAAATGGTATAGCTGTTGTGGATAAGTGTGATGATTCCTCAGAAAGTTAAACAGAATTACCATATGACTGAGCGATTCCACTCCTAGGCATATATATACCACAGAACTGAAAACAAGTATTTAGACAAAAATTTGAACATGAAAGTTCATAGCAGCACTATTCACAATAGCCAAAAGGTGGAATAAACTCATATGCCCATCAACAGATGGATATACATAATGTGATATGTATAGCTATATATACACACATATATGTATATACAGTGGAATATTATTCACTCTTAAAAAAGGAATGAAATTCCAACACATGCTACCATATGAATGAACCTTGAGGATGTGATGCTGAGTGAAATAAGCCAAGCATAATGGGACAAATACTGTATGATCCCATTCATATGCAGTATCTAGAATAGTCAAATTCATAGAAATAGAAAGTAGAATTGGCGTTGTCAGTTGCTTGGGGTAGAGAAATGGCCAGCTATTGTTTAATGGGGACAGAGTTTCAGATGTGTAAAGTGAAAAATGTTCTGGAGGTGAATTATGGTGCTGGTGGCACAGTAATGTTAATATACTTAATGCCACTGAACTTTCCAGTAGACATGTTAAGATGGTAAATTTCACATTTTGTGTATTTTACCATATTAAAAAGGAGATGGATCAAATGCAAGCGTGAAGAAAGGACTGTCTGTGGAGTGACACCATGAGACTCAGAATATCTTGTTCTTCAACAGACTTTTACCCAGTGGTTTGAGCTTTAATTGATGAAGTTTACATGAGTTATTTATTACAGTGGTGGTTCCAAAATTTTAGTAGTTTCAAAAAGTGCCAGCAGGCTGGAGGTGCCTTAATTTTGCATCCTGCTATTTGATTGAATGAGTAATTAATGGTGAGTGAAGTGCTGATGTGGTAGTGTTACCAGAGCCACCTGTATTCCTTCCTGTTTCAGGCAGGCAAGTTGTGGATCTTGTGGAACTTGTGTCTCTCTTCCCCACGCTCACTGGACTTGCAGGACTGCGAGTTCCTCCTCGTTGCCCCATTCCTTCATTTCATGTTGAGGTGTGCAGAGAAGGCCAGAACCTTCTGAAGCATTTTCGATTCCATGACTTGGAAGAGGATCCATACCTCGATGGTAATCCCCGTGAGTCAATTGCTTATAGTCAGTACCCCAGGCCTGCAGACTCCCCTCAATGGAATTCTGATAAGCCAAGTTTAAAAGATATAAAGATCATGGGCTATTCCATCCGCACCATAGACTATAGATACACTGTGTGGGTTGGCTTCAATCCTAATGAATTTCTGGCTAACTTTTCTGACATCCATGCGGGGGAACTATATTTTGTGGATTCTGATCCATTGCAGGATCACAATGTATATAATGACTCCCAACATGGAGGATTTCCCCAGTCATTAATGCCTTGAGTTTTGCTAGCCACAGAGGGCAAATATAACATGCTCCCATCAAGCTAGTGAGAGGAATGATGATTATTTTGTCATTACCCATAATATTGGATGCAACCTGGAGGGGTGGTAATCAAAACACACATCAACAGTTTGGCCTAAGAATATGTGATAGCTGAACCTTTTCATTTAGTGTTTATTAATATATAATTGGTAATTGGATTGGGGATAGACTGAATCTCTTTTTTCCCTTTTTAAATCAGTCATAACTTAGTCATTGAGTAACAGGTCAACATTAGGTCATATCTTTGTGTATCAAGCCCATACTACTCAAATATAACACTGTACTCAAGAAATACTTTGTCACATTTAATGCATTTCATATAAGTACTGTGCACTAACTGATTGTGCCACTGGAGCTCTGAGTGATTTCTAATTTCTGGGTTTATCTTTATTTTATTTATAATTTAATAATTTATCTTGGGTAGCCCAATATATTTAAAATATGTCAACATGAAATTCACATTTCTTTCTAAAACATGAAGTTAACTAATAATTTCAGGATCCACTACTACCTTAAAGTATGTCTTCAATTTTTGTTTCTAAGACTAAAAGATTTCAAAATCCAAAAATAAAATGTGTATAAATGACTAATATGTTATTTTTCATAAAAAATAAATAATGCTTAGTAAACTAGAGGCATGAAATATGTATGGGAAGTTCAGCTATAATTTTTTCATATAATTTCTGGCCAAGTAATAATTTGTTACCAAATAATATGACCTTGAACTCAGTGACCATCTATTAAAAGTCTGTTATTCACAATAAAAAGCATTTTAAAAGTATCTAATCCATGGTTTGAGTGACTGAAAATCCTGCCAGTGTTCTTCTTTAGGGATGATTGTTTGCAGACATCTGTTTATTCAGGAGGCAGAAAATATTCTACTTTTAATTGTTTATTAAAATAGTAATTTTATTAAATTGTAAATTTTGAAAACTTATTAGTATAACATTAAGTAATTTTCAGTCCTCTAGAATGTAATTCTGTATTTCTTAAATATGAAAGTAGCCAGAAAGGCAGGTAGAAGTAATAAGCTTCATTCATACCATCTTAAAAGTAATGGTTGTACTTATAACATGATAAAAGTGATCAATTATCAGTAATCATCAAAAGAATAAAAAGCTTTTTAAATAAACATGTAATATAGTCAGTCTTACATCAGAATAAGTTTAGTCATTTTCTCCTAAAAATGCCTCGGTGTTTCAAGGTAAATGTTCGTGAAACAAAACATAACAAATAGTTAACTAGACTTAATTACTGCCATGTATTAAATTATAACCAAAAAAGACAAGATATTATATTAAACTCAGTAAAATTTCAAAGACTGATTGCGTTTTTACTAATTGGCCTATGATAGAGATGTATATGAAAACATACTGATCTAAGCAGTTAAATGACTGTCTTGGCAACTGCAATTTTTATTTGAGGGTTGAAGGCCCCTATTCAGCTCTCCTGATTCCAGAACTCTTTTCTCAGACGTTTCAACTTTTATAAGTTGTTTCCTTCAGCTTTTTCTTACACTTCATCATATTTATCACTTTCATTACATTCACTATAATTTTTACAATATAGTCTAGAAATTTCTTATGATATATTTTCAATGTATTTAGCTTTATTTCCTACTTCACAGTTATGATGATAAGTTTTAATGCAAGTGTTTGTTTCATATCCATTTGTTGTTCTTGGTTGGCTACAATATGTGCACTTCATTTTTTTGCACTTTATTTCCCAAAGCACAGTATTGGTAGCAAAACTCTAAATTCTGCCCTTGATGAAATCATAAGCCCCACTGTGCTCTCTGCTTGATAGGCACTAAGCATATATGACTATTTAAATTTAAATAATTGAAATGAAATAAGATTTAAAAAGATTACTAGTCACACCACATTTCAAGTGTTCAGTAGCTACAGGTAAAGAATATTTCTATCATGGCAGAAAGTTTGATTGGACAGAGCTGCCTTGGATTATCTCTGGATTTGAGCTGGATCTGCTGATTGTTGGCAAATTCCTCCTGCAGGTTATTTCTCTTCCCTGCATTTGCCCACAAAGACTTGTCCAGAGGTGAACAAACTGTGTTTAGTTTAGCGTAGAGTAGGGAGTTTGCTATGGCCATTGGCCTCTTCCCCTTCACTCCCATCTTCATTGCCTAGTCCTTCTCCCCTCCTTCACAAATAGTTTACCTCCCCTCCTTTTTCCTCCCCTTTCCCTAAAGGAATCCACGTGTCTTCCTAAAATCCCTCTTGACCCTGCCCTTTGAGAACACCGTCAGTGCCTACTATGGGTCTAGAAAGACCTCCGCTGAGCAGTCAGAGTCTTCCCTGGCTCCACAATGCCCCTGCCCTTGGCTGACTCTCCCTTGCCAATCCCTGCCTCCCTCCCTTCCTAGGTTGTGCTCCTTCTTCTCTGCACCAGTCCCTTCATGGCCATTTTTTATAAGCTAGCTCCTATGCCCCCATTGCCAAGAGGCTGAGATTTTCATGACTCTCGAGACTGTATTATGGGATGAAGTGAGCACCACTAAAGAATCTTACATTCACTCACCTTACTTTTAAAAGGTACTTAAACTCAAGTAATAGAGCACCTGCCTGGCAAGTGTGAGGCCCAGAGTCCAATCCCCAGTACTGCCCCCCCTTACCAAAAAGGCACTTTTTCTGATTATAAAATTGGTGTGTTAATTTAAATAAATGGAAAACAGAAATGTAGTAAAAAATGAGAAAATGTGTGAATGTTTTATCCTGAGGTAGATACTTAATATCTTGTCTTTTTGGGGATATGAATTTTTTTACCTTTCTGTGATTGTTTTATCATGCAATTTATGTTCTTACTTTTCCCCTAAGTATTATGTGTAGTTATTCTGGATTTTTGCAAAGATACTTTATATTACTGGTAATATAGTTTATTGTGTAGTTTCATTATAATTTACTTAACCTTCTTTAAATTGTTGGAAATTCAAGTTATTTCCAAGTTTTCAGTATTATAAATAATGTTATGATGATCAACTTTGTGAATAAAATGTTTTTATGTATTTCAAATTATTCCCATAAGGTAGTCTCTCAGTGCCAAGTTGTCAAAAAACATCTCTTATTCCCCCCCCCCATTCTCTTGCTACCTAACTGTGCTTAAGTGAAAAAATAAAGTTAGCAAGCTTACAAATAAAAACCATAAGCCAAAAAAGCATCCACAGTCCTACAATAGGTAAAAGTGATATCCTGTTTTAACTTCTGATTGTGTGTTTAGCAATGATTTTGACCACTGTTTTATGTGTATGATTGTTGGGCATATGTATTTCCAGTTTTGTGAATTTGCCATTTCAATTTTGCTTATAGGTCTCACTTTTTAAATAATCAAACAAATTGGTCTTTTCTGGTGTGATATTTCTCCTGTCTTTTCCTATTAAACATGGAGACCCCCTCTATCTGGAGGTTGAATAAATATTAATTTTCCTTTGACTTTTTGTGGTTTGATTTTATATTTACCCTGTCTCTCTACCCCATTCCTAGAGTAATATATGCTCACTGTGTGAAATGTAGAAAATGGTAAAGATGGAAAGAAGCCTGTCATTCCAAATACAGCTACTGTTGACATTTGTGTATTCCTTTCCACTCCTTTTCCTACCCACATACATATGCACTGATATGGACATTTTATCATTACATAGCTGAAATTTAATACAATCTCTGTTATTTTTTATCTAGCACAATGTACCTTTTTTTTTTTTTGAGACAGGGGCTTGCTATGTAGCCTGCAAGCATTGAACTCACAATTCTCCTGCCTCTGTCTCGTGACTACTGGGATTATAGGTATGCACCACCATGAATGGCTCAAATAATAAGAAAAAGATTTTGTGGTGCTAGGAATCAAACCCAGGATCTCATGCACAGGAGGCAAGTGCTCTACCACTGAGCTACACCCCTAACCATTAGCAAGGTTTTTTATGCCATTTGACAGTTACTGGTTAATAGTTCTAATGACAGTGCCATCTTTCTCACATTAATCTCTTTTTTGTTAAAATTCTCAAATTATTTTCATTTAAAAAACTAGTAAAATATGCATGACATAAAATTACCATCTTAACCATCTCAATGGTATGGTATTAAGTAGATCCACAATGTTGTGCTACTATCGCCACTGTCCATCCACAGAACTTTCTTGCAAAACTGAATCTCTGTCCCATTTTAATACTGATTCTCCAATTCTCCCTCCCCCTCCTCCCTGGCAACCACTATTCTACTTATTGTCTCTATGGATTTGACTATTCTAGATACCTTATATAAGTGCGGTCATACAGTACATTGCTTATTGCTGTTATAATGTCCTCAAGGTTCATGTATAATGTAGTAAGTATCAGAATTTTCTTCCCTTTTGGACTGGAGGTGTGGCTCAAGTGATAGAGTACCTGCTTTGCAAAGCACAAAGCCCTAAGTTCACACCCCAATCCTAAAACAATAATTCCTTCCCTTTTAAGGCTGAATAACATTCCATTGTATGCATAAGACACATTTTTTCCATCAATCCATTGGTGGACACTTGGATTTTTTCCACTTCTTGGCTATCACAAATAATGCTCCCACGAACATGGCTGTATAAATATCTGTTCAAGTCCCTGCTCTCAGTTCTTTGGAGTGTATATCTAGCCTACATTAATCTTTAATCACTTCAGATGTTGATGTGTGTGCTGAGTCGTGAACAAGGTGATTGGAGAGGCCTCACCTGGGATACAAAGGAAAAGATTTTTCTGAACAGTGGCAAGGGGCTGTCTCTTTCCCCTCTTGGTCCCACCTTTCTGCTACTTGTCAGAAAATAGCATACTTTCACTGTATGAGGGGCTTTGGGTATGAATTCTCAAATGGGTGCTCAACACAATTTCCTTCCCCAAGTCCATCCTGTAGGTGAGAACTATTTGGAGTAGTCTCTTGAATTCTGGTCTGAGAGCTAGGATTAAATTAGAACATAGATTTTCCCTTTGGCCTCTGCCCATTGTCTCTTTTGGCCTTGGATATAGCCTGTTGTAGTTGAAGCTGCTGTCAGCATAGCTCCATCACTCTCCACTGCCTTTGGAGTTCCCTTGGTTCTCCTGGGCAGTTTCAGAATGTGAAGCAGAGAGGGCTGTTATGAATCGGTGCCCTCAGATCACCCATAATGTCATCACTGTGGGTAAGAATCCTCACTGCTTTTGAGTCTTGCCTTTCTGCGTTATACTAAAAGTTTGAGCTGGCATCCTTGTGCCTATACTCACTGGATGGGAGCAGATTCCACTTTTTGCTCATGATAAAATACAGGCAGTCTGATGGGAGTCCACTCTCTCAAGAGTTTTCTTGGAGATCAGAGTTTCCCAGCTGTTACTTTACATCCTGCCTGAGATCACCATCACCCATAGTGTAATTAAAGAATGCTGTTTTTGATTCTGGATGCTAGGCGATGATCCTCATCATTCTGTTGAAAGAGTCCAGGGTAGAGAAAACAAAGGTGG